AATAAGCAAAACCTTTTCTTCAACTATTTCCTGTTCATTTGTTGTGGGCCTGAACTTGATAAACCTGGCCACGCAGTCTGCAGTAAACAGAATATGGGCTCTGACCATTTATAGAGCAACAGTCATTATAGGCAGCTATTCTGTAGAATTTTCTTCCCTGAGTAAGCCTATATTTGTCATACTGTCTTTGAAACAGAGAGATGACATCTTTCTTCATGGATTTTATTTCACAGGTTGTTTTAATTGCGCAGAAGTCTCTCCCAGACCTTTCTCAGAAGGGATGTTAATTGTGGTGGCATTTATCCATGAAGGGCTTATTCATTAAAAATGTGCTCACACCCATGCATGCAAATACACACACACACTGGGAGAAGTTCATCCCCTTGCAGGGTTAGTGGGAAGACCCATACATCCCCTTGCATACCAGTTGCCTCCCAGCAGCACATATCTGTGCAACATACTGGTGATCAGCCTTGTGTCGCCATCTGCATTGAGATATGTTGAACTTTTTTGTTCAAAACTAAAGAAATATCTAGGAGGTAAGGGAAGATAGTAGGATACAAGGAGTTTTCCACCTCTCAGGTTTTTCTTTGTGGTCAGCATGGACTGGGAAGACCTTTTTCATTTTTAAAATTTTGATCTTCTGGAAGCTGTTTTATTTTCAAGATTTAACATAAACCAAGTTACTTATAACAAGAAAAATATATATATTTACAGCTGAATAATTTGTGAAGTTTGTCAAATACATGTAATGTATAAACATGGTGCTAATAGAGATGAAATATTTCAATAAAAGAGGGAAATTAAAAATAGTATGTTGTTACCTCATTATGTATTCATAATACTGATGAATTGGGATCTTTCATGTTAAATATGAAGGTGAGACTGTATTTCACCAAGGGTTTTCAATGTTTGCTAGATATTTAGGTAAGGTCTAAACTCAGAGAGGGAGAAATCTTGCCCTTAGTCACACTGTTGAAGTCAGTAAGAATTATTGACGTGTTACACAGGGTACAGTGAAATAAAATTTTTCCACTGAGAATCTGTCTGGTCTCAGGTCAAATTGGCAAATGTGATGCCCATCTATAAGAAGGCCTGGAAGGATGATCTGGGAAATTACAGACCTGTCAGCTTGATGTCGGTGCCCAGGAAGCTGATGGAGCAGCTCATCCTGAGTACCATCACACAACACATCAGTGACAACCAGATGCTCAGGCCCAGTCAGCGTGGGTTTATGAAAGGCAGGTCCTGCTTGATAAACCTGATCTCCTTCTACGACAGGGCAACCTGCTTATTGGATGAGGGAAAGGCTGTGCATGTTGTCTACCTTGACTTTAGCAAGGCCTTTGACACTGTTTCCCACAGTATTCTCCTGGTGAAACTGGCTGCTCGCGGCTTGGATGGGCACACGCTTCGCTGGGTAAAAATCTGTCTGGATGTCCGGGCCCAGAGAGTTGTGGTGAACGGAGTTAAATCCAGTTGGTGGCCGGTCACGAGTGGTGTCCCCCAGGGCTCAGTCAGTGCTAGGTGAACGGTTGGACTGTATGATCTTCAAGGTCTTTTCCAACCTAGTTGATTCTGTGATTCTGCACAACATTGGGTCTTATGCTGGTGATATAAATGACGTTACCTGTTGGAGAGCAGATATGCAGCTGGGAAAGAGATTATTTCTGGTCACCTCCTGATCAGCCCCTTTCATCAGCTTAGCATTGTTTTAGCAAGCTGAGAAATGCAGTGTAGTCAACGTCTCTTGGCCCAGTCATTTCCATCATGAACCCATCTGATGCAGGAGTAGGCAGATGAGTGACCCTGTTTGCCTGTGCTACCTATAGGGTCCCCAGAAGCCATCAAGGTAGTTAAGGGAGGCTACACACCTTCTCTGCCCTACAGTCTCTCCCTCTCATGACTTACACTTTGTGCATTATGGTGGGACTATGAGTCATTCTCTACCTGAAGACAGTTCTTACAGTAACTCATTGTATATATGTTCATATACATCATTTACATATATATATATATATATGTATGCTACCTAGAATTTCCTGATGTTTGCTTTTTTGTGCTTTTTATCTAACATTCAACTTCTCAAGAGCTTTTCAGATGACTGGGTTACATTCTCTTCTGACAGAAAGTTAATGCTATTCTGTTTCTAAAGATACCTGAACTGTGTGCTCAGACTTTTATCCCTAATTTAGTTTTAAACCTGCACCTACCATTTCCATAATTCCAGTGAAGTGGGTGTTTTTTTTTTTTTTTTTTTTTTTTTTTTTTAAATGTGGGCCAAGCACTTGAATTCTATGAACTGATTTGGATTAAACACTTTCCAGTCCGACTTGTGGTGAGTACATCCTAGATCAATAAGTCAATGTAACATCCAAACTCTAAAGGAGAAATGTTCCTCCTGAAAACATGTAGGATGCACAGACTAAGCAGTAAATACTTCTTGTGGCGGAAATACTGAGGTGGAGAGAAATGCAGGGGAGGTGAGGAAAGGAGCTGTATCCCCTTGACCATATTTATCCAAACTAACTTCACCAGCACTTGGGAAAGGAAGGACTTGCATCTAGTCACAACGCTGCACATCAGACATTACACAGAGTAACCTCCTGTGGTCAGTTCTCAAAACTGCATTTGCTTGCACTGAGAGAAAAGGACACAGAATCTTGAAATCAGTGCAGACTTCCTTTAAAAATTGACTGAAGGTAGTTGTAGGTTGTTTTTTTGTTTTTGTTTTGTTTTTTTGTTTTTGTTTGTTTGTTTTTTTTAAGATAGACTTGTGGGATCCTGAAATTGGATTATGAAGAAAATCTCAAGTGGCATATAATGAGAGTTAAGTACCTTTGTGCCACAGCAGAACACACTGTCCATCTCTGCTGATATAAAATCATAGAAGATAAGTCTTGACAGGAGTTTGATAGGTCATCTAAATGTTCCCTCTGTCAAGGCTGATGAGTAAGGCTTAAATCATCCCTAACACTGTCTGTGCCTATTTGTGTTTCATGAGACATACAACACCCTGGTTAGTCATCTTGCTGTGATGCTTTCTTTTTCTGCAGCAGTATGACATTATCAGTAATGATAACCTTCTCACCACTTAATTTTACTGGTTAAAACAGCTGTCCTTCATTAGGCTGAGAGGAGCATACTGATCTATACTCAAGACATGGAGAAATACTTTTATTTTTGCGACGATGTTCTGAGTACTCACTAAACGGGTGCTTAATTACAGATTTGTGATTCCTCTGGAAGTACCTGCAAAATTTTGCGCTGCACAGAAACATCTGCAGGTCATGAAAAGGATACTTCAAAATTAAACCTTACAGGTACCTTGGTTACTGTAGCTGCCACAGAACTACAGGTGTCAAAGTAGCACAACTCTGGCACCACCCTGTATCTCAGGGCTGCCCAGTGACTTAAATTTCACTGGATAAATGACTAAGGAGCTGTTCACGTTCTTCCTCCTGAGGTGGTATTTCAAGCTGAAGGTCTGACTTCCCCTCACTGCTGGCCAGTGACATTTGCTGTGTAGGACTCATGCTTTCATTTTGCCAACTTGCTCTGAAGCAGGTGCTCCTGGAGCAAGTACAATGGTACACTGCAATGACCCACCTGCCCCATGAACTCAAAATGCCCAGTTTGGCACTACCATTATCTGCTGAGTCTCATTTTTTTTCCTCATGTGGCTAGCACACATGGTTGGGCTCAGTTCTTCTATGCTGCCAGACAGCAGAGAGGGCATACTCACACACTGTAGTTTCATTGGCTTGAGATTAATTACTGTTTCAACGCAAATGACTTATCAAGTACAAATGCTCATATTTTTGAACAGTAATCAAATAACTGTGCCTATTTAGCTTCATGAAAACACCTCTGACTTTAAAAATTCCAAGCACTAGAAATGCAAATACATTTACATCGTTAGTGTTTAGGAATTGCTCCTTTGAAAATGGCTCAGATTTTGTTTATTAAGGTTGGCAAAGGATTGAGGAGAATTTGGGAAAAGAGGACAGAAATTCACCACATTTGTGTGGTTGGTTTTATCCCAAAACAAAGTTATGTTGCTACATTATAAATACATGAGCACTTTGTAATGGCAATACTGGCAGACTTTTAATTAAGGTAGTGTTACTTCTAAGAATTTTAATACAGAGAAAATTGTCTGTTCTACCTTTGTTGCTGTTTTATTTCAGCTAAAACATACTTATTAAGTAAATCAAATAAAAAACAAGTCTTACTTTTGGTATCCCATGCCACAACAAGTCTTTCAATTTGTGCTGTATTTCTGTATCTAGTAGAGAATAGCAACCAGCATCTTCTTGATAGATTTAGTTGCTCAAGCAAAGCAACCACACAAACCCTTCTGCCAGAGCAAATATTCACTAAACTGGGTTTTCATGTCTTGGGTGCAGTGTATCGGAGGGAACAGATACTGCAGGGGTGATTAATATAAGGTTGGCTTCCTCTTAAAATACACTTTAAGCCCACTGATTCAACTGTCAGTTCCTCTCCTACTTTTTGATACACTGATACATTCATTATGCATTTTTTCTGTGCATTAGAGACAAAATACTTTACTGCCAAGACATTGTAATTATTTGGGTCCTATCAGCATTCCCAATATTAGTGTCACTTGTGTATGGTTCTATTTATAAAGCAGAGAAGTGAAATTTACTTTATGTGTGCAATGACAGTATTTCAAATCATCTTGAGATGAAGAAAAATAGCATTTTCCATTGGAAAATATTTTGACTAGAAATTACTAAGCACCTCTAAAACACACCCTTTTCTGCAAAACCCAAGGGTGATGCCAACCCTAAACTTACTATGTATTAGACTAAATTTTTAGCGTCTGCAAGTCATCAACCCTCCACTGAAACCAAAGCTGCCATAAAAACTGATGCAACCACACAGTGTTTCCACCACCTGAAGCTCAAACTGAAATCCTAAACCCCAGATCCCAAATTTGGCTTTTCAGAGCATTCTACTGAACAGAGAAAGAAAATATCATTAGTGGAAAAAAGAAAACAACCACTCTAATGGCAAAGCATTTCCATTTTGTACATCCACATGAACATAATAGACTGTAAAACAACTTGCACTTGCATGTTGTAAATATATACAATATTAAAACCAACATGTTCATTATTAAACTCTGTATTATGCACACTTCTTTTACAATTAGCTCATCTATGTCTTTAGAAATTGGGAATGCCTTCTGGAGCTCTCTGGGGAAATGTGGTGTGCCCCAAAGCTATTTAGAAACACAGCATTCATAGCGGAGACACTTTAACATCTTTAATGACTAAATCCTCTACTTCCCATTGTTCACTGGTAGAAGTACAAATAACAATACATGAAATACTGTTGTCTGAAAAAATAACTGCCTTTGTATTCCTTGAAGTCTGAAAAATAGGTATGTGGCTTGAACTAATGCATGGGATTGTATTTTCCTGCAAATGTTCCACTAGATTATCCATGTGATGAACCACACTGTCAGCAGACGGTTAGTTCTTGTTCCCTGGCTCCTCTCTTGTTCTACAGTGGCAGCACCAGCAGCTCACTCCTCCCAGTGGGGAGGAAGCTTCAGTGGTGCACAGTGGGTATATGCATGTGCTGGTGGCACAAACAGAGCAAACCCCTTCCCTGCGAGGCACTGCCTCACATATGGACAGTGGGAATTTGGTCCTCTCTTGTAGTGCTGGGTTTACATCACAAGCTCATTCCTGGAAGTGACTTTTCCAGTGAGATGTCAACTCATGTAGGTAGACATGTACAGTGGATCTCCATTTAAAATTTACAAATGAAAGGTAAAGCTCAGGGTTTTGCTGTGTCAGTTGAAGGAAAAATTAAGCTCAGATGAACACAATCTTTAAAAACGGTTTCAAATAGCCAAGGATGAAATTGCCTCCTGTTTTCAAGGTCTACACCAAAATGTATTTTGTAAATTTTACCTGAACACTGAAGGCAGTTGTTCACCACTCATCTGAGCCAACACGGATGTGTCTGCTAATTTCAATAGAATCTGAAATAGATTATCAAAGTTTATGGCAATAACAATTTATGATCTTCCTTCCTATTGGACTCTAAAGTGTGCTTTACCTTGTGGCATACAGACTGTCCTGCAGCCTTTCCTCAACATTTGTGCAGGATTAGGGACTCTGTCTGTAACCTCCAAATTTACCTCAAAAGAACTGACATTTAGCTCAAGTCCCTTATTTAATTTTTTGCTTCTCCTTTACCATCTGACAAGATGTGGATTTAAGACTATTCTAACCCATGATATTTTAAGTAACTTATGCAGCACTAAGGAGAAAAATAATTGGCTGGAATTGCAGCAATCAAATGAAGGAAAGGGGGAAGATTTACAGCAGCAGCAGCAGAAGCACATGAATGCCACTGCAGCATAAAGGATGCCATTCTGTCTCACCCCATTCACCTGTCACGGAAGGCAGCATTTTTACAACTCCCAGGCCAGGGCTGGTAATAAGACAATTGAGATGAGCAAGTGTCTCCACTAGCACTTGCAGCTGCCTCTTTCTCTGACCATGTCTTCCTGCTTGGGTTGGAGTTGGAAACATCAGGTGTAAGTGTATCAGCCCAGAAAACAAATGGGAACTGATAACTTTCCAGCTTCCTTCAAAGTTAAGGACTGTGATGAGTATTGTGAAGTTGTTAGCACTTGAGACATCCCATGCACATCTCAGCCAAAGGCAAAGGAGTGGGAAATCTGTAGGGCAGTTTTCCAGAGATGCAAGAAGGAATTACATTATGTTCATCACACATTTTATGCAAAAACTCCACAGGAGTCACAGCCCTGCAAAATTTCCTTGGCACTAGCCTTGCTGCTTGCAGATTCTTTAGAATTAGCTTCATATGGGAAATTAATCTATTTTATTTCTTTTGAGATTTGCAGAACTTTCGCAGTGACAGTACTGTAACTTCTAACTGCAAATCAGCTTCTCCCTGACCTGATTTCTGCCTCAGTAATCACCCAGAGACTCTAACGATGCTTTGAATGTGTGATAAAAGGTGCTTATTACTCACAAAACTGTACATTCATCATGTTTTCCTGATGACAGATTCACACATGAAATCATCACCTTTAACAATTAGGGACTCAGAGCAGCAACTAGATTCTAAAAATAGATGCTTCTTGTGCCAAGACATTAGTTTCTCATTTCTTACCTGGGATTCTTTACTGCAGTGATCATAACTCTATTACAGAGGTAAGTATTCATCTAGCACTCATCTCAGAATGGCTATTAAAGAAAACCATAATTTCCAAACAAATTTCAAAGTTAATTCAGTGAAAGAATTATGCCTTAATGATGAGGTTCTGGGCAGAGTAATAGGGTGATAATTTTTCCTATAAATAAATATTCTTTGTAAGATGCCTTCAGGACTTGTGTGATGCAGCCTAAAGAACCAGTCTGTTTCTCTGAGGAAGTTGTGATGCTGGTATACAATTACTATTTTACCTTAATTTGTTTCAGGCAATATTTTGGGCTATCCTTTGGAGATTACCAAGATTGGAATACTTTGGAGTGACTCTTTTTCTGTTAATCTGTTTGACTTGTGCAAAATTTTTAAAGAAGTCATCAAGCTCATTAAAACGGACTCCAAGCCAGTTATATTTTGTGAAACTTGATAGCTCAAAATCTAGTGTTAAAGAAAAATACTGAAAGCAAAAAGTGCTGGGAGTTTCCAATTGCAATGTACTGGTTTTCTCTTTCCTATTTGCTATGGGCTACCTGACACTATGACTACTGTTGGATGGTCACTTCATGCAGCTGGTATCAGGAGATGTGGAGATGACATAGCCTGGTGGGCAGGTCCACGTTCACCTCTGCTGCAGCACACAGGAAGAAATGCTATTTCCATGTAGACTCCCTCTACACCATCACTTTCAGATGCTGATGTGGTCTGAATATGACGTGTCCTTATACCTGGTCTTGCCCTCTCCCACAGTGGCTTGGATTTCCACACTCCCACCCTTCTCCCCACTTTGTTCACAAGCAGAATGTGAAATGATGTATTTGCAATGGCTGTTGCTGAGCTAGGCAGCTGTCTCTCCAGATTTTAATGCAACAAGTTCAGAGTCCTCTACATATCTTCCATTTAACTGTTCATTGTTGGAATCATGATGGTACAGGTAAACAGGGACCTCTGTGATTGATGTTGCAGTGTAGGAGGTAGATCGTGTGGAACAGTGCTCTCGGCGCCTTTGGCCCCACTGGGTTTTGTACTGTGTCCACTGCCTCTTCAAAGCTCCTTGTACCTGTTAACCAAAAACACAGTTAGGGTGAGGCATAATCCAAACCCCTATAATTGTGGACATTTTAAAATATGCTGAAGGAAAGAGGAAGGGAAGGGAAGGGAAGGGAAGGGAAGGGAAGGGAAAAGCTCCATGTCTAATTCCATCAGGTTTAGTCTACCTCTCTCCTCCCCTCCCCTCTGCTCCCAGCTGCAGAAGCAGAAGCAGTTGCTCAGATCTCACCCTTAACTTCCTCCTTGTCTACCCTATGGCAGCAATTCGAGTTTCTGCAGTTGCTGCTTGTGGACAGAGAGTATAGGTTAGCTGTAAATGTGGAACAGACTGCTGCATGGGAACACAGTAGGATGCTACAGTAAAAGAGGGAAGAGGAAGGAGGGATGTAGATTAGAACCCATCTGATGCTGCAGCTGAATCTTTGCCCATGCATTGTGATCCCTCAAGAAACTTAACCTTGAGTAAAACTGGCCGTGAATGGCAAAGTGTAAGTACACTTCAGGAGTTTGCCAGGGTTTATTTTATAAAGAGTTGGATTAGTAAGCTAAACAGAGATATTGTTCTGGTAATTTAAGAACAGGTTCTCTGCTGGCAAAAAAATAGCATTGGTCATAGCCTTTTGCATGGCAAAGAATTTCAACCTTTGGACATTCATCTTCTAGGAATAAAATATTTTATTTAACATTTACATTAAGAGTTATATATGGCTCTAGGATAAGACTATTGAGTCTTGCCAGAGAATAAGAAGCCCTTCTCCAGCTGCACGTTCAGGCATGCTGGCACTTGCTACCTCCTTCCCAAAAGAAGCATTGAGACATGAGCAGGGAGTGGGCAAACCATGGCTCTGTTCATTTAGATCAGCGATTCCAGCCAGCAAAATGTGAGAATAGGAGCAGTCTGCCATAATAAACTGGTGTAAATGACCACCTCTCCAGAGGAAGGCAGGTGCAGGTGAGGCACTGCGATGACAGGAGTGTCCCAGAGATTGTATGCTCCTGCTGAGGTGGATGTTGTATGCCATTTTTGCTCAGGGACTAGTCTGAAATCACTCTCTAGACTCTGTGCAGAACAGTATCTTTGATTTGTGTAGATTAATCTGAATGACTTTAATATTTCCCAAGTCTCCACAATTCTAATCACTCTATTAATATAGTTAAATAGTAAAATGTTATCTACTCACCACCCACAGCTGCGTGCAAGAAAGCTGTTTCATGTCACGTAAGGACAAGGCTTCATAAGGAATTGCTATGAATCTGAGATGCTTACCGAGTGTAGAGAGGGACTATGAAGCATGCCAAGAATGGATATTTCAATTGCTTTGGCTTTTTATTTTTAATCCAAATGCAAGCCAAGGTATGAGGATTGATGCTATAAATCCTTACTCATGCAAGTAGCTGCACTGACTTTGGTATGAATACTTTCTTGAGTAAACAAACGTTTGCTGGACTAGTCCTTTAAAACTAACTGAAAACGATATGCATGCCCAGTTTCCAAGACTAGCTCTTTTTTGCTATTGTTTATCTCAAGACAAAGTAGTTAAGAGTTCTTTTAATTTAGGGAAATGTATTTCTACTCACCTCTTAACACATAAAGACAAGAAAACAAATGGCAGAGTGTAGGTTAATTAGATATCAATCACAGAAAAAGCATATGGTTACAATGGAACTTTAATTACTGGGGCTGTAAGCAAATTTTACTATGCCAATATTGAGATTTAAAATGAAATTACTGCCTGTAGGGATGTTTCATATTACACTTCACAGCAGTTCATTCATTCAGATTAATCTCAGCATCTTTATCAAAGGTGGCAAGAACATGCTCTTACAGTCTTTTTGTTCCTCTCCTAGCTCCCTTCCCCTGGCCCCTTCATAGAACCCAGAGCTTTGATCACTCATGCATAGGGAGAAGAGCTGCTGTGAAGCTTATGAGCTCCTCCTGAGCTCCCAAACTGCTCTCAGTTCAGCTGGAGTCTGACAGGCCACCAGGGCAACCATAGATCTGGAGGTTATCATCTGGAGATGATAACACAGTTAACTGAAGAGGGAAGAACAATGTCACCAAGACTTGTTTTCTTCTTGGAAAGGAGTGACCCTTGTATGTATGGTCAGAGAGAGAACAGGCATATCCCTTTCAGTTCATCCCATGGTTAGTTCAGCTGAGAAATGCCGTTAGTCAGGTTAAAAAAGCTCCGCAGAGCAGTGAGAGCACGAGGTCAAGGCAGTTCTGTTTTTATTCTCTGCTGAACTGCTGGCCTGTATAAGAATCTGGCCACAAACAGATAATGGATAGTACAAGCTGCTGCACTTGTGTATAATAACGTGTTAATCTAGATTTCCGCCACGATTCCAAGAATCTCAGATGATCATAATTCAGTGCCAACTAAAACTGTTAATGCATGTTTTTTAAATGTGTAAGCACCATTACTGAAAATCACATGCACAGTCATAACATATTAACAACCCAGGAGTCTCCTGGGGACCAGGAAGGGCAGGGCAATGCCTGCCATGCTTTCTGCTGTGATAGCAGATGGAAAAAAGTAAAGTCTAAAGAAATAAAGAGCATGAGTTTATTTACTCTGCTCTTCAGGTCTTTAAAGATTTTTCTGTTCTATATTAGCCATTCATGCCTTTTTGGCACAAAAGATATATGGCTGTTTTTTTTTTTTCCAAACAGACTTTCCATTTTGTTGGCCAGTCTTGCAGTCTAGAAGGAAACTCAGACCTGGAAATATATTCTGGTGAGCAGAATATTGCAGAGACTTTGTATCATTTGTCCAACAATGTTGTTGTTGGACAGGGAAACTAGTGCTTCTGGACACTGAGATTTTATAGGAAAATGCACAAGAAGATCTGTCATTTTAAAAGTCAAAACCAAATCCATTGTTTATGTGTTCTTCCACATGAATGCAGGCATCGGTACAGCTTCTTATTACTATTTTTACATTTCTTTCTACAGATGGGCTCATGGTACTAAAGTGAGGTTAGTGAGGTAGTAGGCGATTAACACAATGTAAAACTGTCAGGTGGCACTGAGTTTAACATTGTTTGTCCTGTCTAAACTTCATGCATTTCAGCCTTGAAGTTAAATATTCCAGTAGGAAAAAATAAATCCCAGAGTATCCAGGCTCCTGTGGTACCTGTGGCTCCTTGCCTCACACTGAATTTTCTCATGAGAAATAATTTTGAGCTCTATAGCAGCAGAGCAGGGTATAAAGCAGCTTGAAAACAATCTCCTACCATGACTGAAGACCAGACTGTGGCTTTGGTCTATGTCCTACTGCACACAACAAGACTTGGGGAAGTTATCTCAGTTTAGCTCTCTTGGGCAGCCAAACTCAGAGAAGCGCTCCCTTTGGAAGGACCTAATACCATCTTGGCATTAGTCTGTTGCTGCTCTTCTATAGGTTTTATGTGTTGTATATCTACACCTTGTGTAACTGCAGGAATAAATGGGACTTGGAGGTAAGGGGCCATAATTCTTTCATCCTCTCTTCTGGCCCAGCCCAGCTACTCTAGTACATAAACTTGCTTGATGTAATGTGCTCATTCAAGTAGCACCAAACTGTCTTGAGTCTGTATTAGAGAGATGTCATCTTTGACTCTCTGCCCATCTTAATGGGAAATTCTAAAAAAAAAAAAAAAAAAAAAAAAAAAAAAAAAAAAAAGCTTCCCTTATTGTCTAGTAAATAAATTTCCTATAAAAAAATAATAGAGGTAATAGAGGGTTTCTCGGCATCCCTGCCATCGACCATGTTAGACAGTTGGCAAGTCTGAAGCACATACAATTTTGAAAATGGGTGTAATGGTGAAAAATACTCAAGTACCAACAGAAATCACTCTCAACATGTCTGTGAAACCTGAACCCCCACGGCTATTTTTTCTTATTGCCTGACACTGATGAACGTTTCTGATCAGCCACTCCACCAAGCAGTCATTAATCCTACATGCAGTCTGGAGGTACCTGGAGGTAGTTAAGCCATCCATGCGATAACTTATGGGAGCACTAGAGTACAAAACTGGAAGCCACATTTCAATATAATATTCACTTTTATCTCCTTTTGGGCATCATCCTTTCCAGATGTGTCCCCCATTGATGGCTTGCTGACAGTTCAAGTATCAAAAGTCAATATCCAGGTAAGAGCCTTTCACAAGGAAGAGTCCTTTTTACTGTGGGCTGCCAGACGTGTCAAAAAGGCTTTCAGAGGTGACTAGGGGTTTGGTGACTATTGCTGTTATTCAGAATATGGATCTAGACTGTGTATCTTCAGACCATGTAAGGAATGACTGGCTGCTATTGCCACTTCCTAACAGCAGCTCAGTCAATGCAGCGTGTCTCTCATGTTGGATGTCTGAATATCGTGTATGAATATGGTGTATTTTCTTAATCCAAATATATTTATTCCAAATTCTAAATTAAATGTAACACAATACCTAGTAAATAAAAGAGAGCTGTGTATTTTATACTCATTTTCATTCCTGGAATGTGGCTTTTACCGTTCTGCACGCTACAGGTTAGTTCATATGACAGGTAAACTCATTCATACCCTGCAATCTAATTTTGAATTAAATACATATGGTCTGCCATGATGTTGGCAAGCAGATGCTTCAGATATATTCATTATTGCATAACTTGAAAACTGTATTCCTGGAGCTGTAAAGGTGGTGATGCTTTTCTGACACTGTGGCATTGCCAAAAGTACTTTGGAATTAAAGCTATCTGATGAAACATAACTAAGAAACAAACAACCTTTAAGATACTTCACGTTTTCAGTGCATTTTCTTGCTGCCTTTCCTCATTTTCAGCATTGCTACTGTCTTTAATCTAGGCACAAATCCGTATGTTCTCATTAGAGTTGGAGAATTACAGAGTAATTGACCTTTTCCCCTAAAGCTATAAAATATTAAGCAAATATGTTTTGCAAAATCTAATCTGAAACAAATGGAAGGTGAAGTGGGGGAGAATGAAGAAGGAAGGAGGCAATGTTCAAGACCAGGATTTCGGGGTAACACGTTGTCTGGAGGCAGGTGAGGACACACTGGAGCACTGTCTCTACATAGCTATGCAGTCATTCCTATGGGGAGAGGATGTTTCAAAAACTGCCTGGATGATCTCTTCTTTCTCCACACCAGGCCGTCCCTACCAGGGAGAATCAGAAGTCTTTCTGTGTTTCCAGGAAATGGAGATTGGACTGTGTTCAGAAAGTGATGACAGTAAGGGAGAAGGAGAAAGCTGGTAGTATCCCGTAGATCATGGGGACAGAAATGTGATAGGAAAAGAGTTGTGTGTCTCTCCGACTTGGCTTAATTGCATACATGAAACCGTGAAGTTCTATAGCGTGGTCTTTACAGCTATAATTTCATGTTAGGTTCCGGCGTCATTAGCTGCTTATGTTTTGCCATTCTCTTTTATGTCTCCTGAGAAGCCATGCTACAGAACTACAGCAGGAGGCCTCTAATCTTCTCTGCTGTTGCATATCTCTGTGTACATTTATGCAGGGAGCCAGCCAGAAGCAAATGTATAGTGATGTCGACAAGTGGTGGCAGAATTTAATACTCTGCTGTCCTGAAAGTTAGCAAAGCAGCCAGTAGCACCTTATCAATAACATAACTTCCTTCAAATTGCTATCAAAACATCAGTGTGGTCACACCATTGCATGGAATTTGTTACTTTCTAATAATATAGAGGGATAAACAGGAGGATGAATATCTCTTTAGACGGACATACTGAGTGTTAGCATCACAAAGCTTGCTCTGTATCTAATACATCTGCTCTAGATTCCAAATTGACTTTTTAAAAGACTTCCTAGTTTTGCTAAGATATGCAGTGTTTTATTCCACTACAGTTGAATGCTCCTGATATATCGAAAAAGCACTTTTCTGCTAACCATCTTTGGAAAATGGCTTACTGTAGGAATTTAAATGGTTCTTGAGATATTTTAACCTTCTATTTTTTGTAAAAGTGCAGTGGACCTAAAACTAGCTGTAGGTATATAAAATATTTATCCAGCTGTAAGAGACTGGGAGACATCTTTGCCTCAAGGGTTTTTATTTCTCAATTACTATGTGGGAAACAATGACCTTAAAAGGCCAGAGCTAATCCTCAAAGGAGTTGAAGTAATCACACTCCTCCAGGCTCCTCTGCTCTGACAGTGCTACCAGGGACGGCATCTGCCACGGCTGTGGGGTTGAACACAGCACACGGCTCTCCAGGACAGACCCCCAGAGATCCCCACTGCTTCTTCTGAGGCATTGTGGTCCTTCCCACTATTCTTGACAGGAAGGGAAGTAGGCCATTTTACTCCTTTGCTTAGACATCTCAAAATTTCAGATGGTAGGGGGAGAGTCTCATGCCTGTACCTCATTTGGTGCCATCTGGTTTGCAATGGTAACACTCGTGATTCATCTGCTCAGAGATATTCAAATCACGCTCTGCACAGAGCTTTCACAAATGCACACTGCTGCTTGTATATAGAGACTAAAAAGTGACTTTGTGTGGTTTCAAAGTTTGCAGAACGACATGCTTCATTTCTGCGTTAATGAACACCACAGTGACTATTTTCCAAGTTCTATTAATTTGCTGTATTTCACATGCTTACCTCACCATTGAAGAAGCAGAATATAGTTGCCACAAGTAAACCCTGAGAGAAAGGAAAAGAGTTTAGAGATCAGAATATATAATTTATTTTTGCATTGTTTGGAAATTTGGACTTGATGGATAAAGATAAAAACATTAGTCCATTTCCTCTGCACCACAGATGCTTCACCTAACCTCTTCCTCTTTTACATTATTTACACTGATTTTTACCTTTTCAACATGTTTTATCATCTTCTTCTATATTGCAACCATTTATAGATTATCTGGTTTGGCTATGAAGTTATTTTTGTACAAGAAGCCTAGACAAGAAAAATTAAATGGTATGTAAAGTATTTTTCTTACAGTGGAGTATCACTCTGCTACTGACTTTGCTGAAGAGATAGCAGAGGAATTGTGTCCTACATGCTGCTACTCATTTATCAGAGTGCAATTACCCAGTTAAAAGTGTCGGCCAGGAAGAATCCAGCTGCCCTGGGAAGGCTTTAAATTGAACTGTGTATCAGGATAAGTGAATTTGCGTATGGGCCATCATGATGGATGGAGAGGATATGAAAAGAGGTATAAGTAGTTAGAGAAAGGGGAAAAAATCCCCCAACAAATTAGAAGGTAGGGGGGCAGAAAAAAAAAAAAAGAGAGTACAGATCATAGCTTGGTCCCAAATGGCTTAAAATTAATTTAATTATTGCCACATTTGTTCCAATAATATTTCATTACTGCTGCAAATTTAAATAAGGCCAAGGCAGGAACATGAGGTTGAGAAAGTGTGAAATTAATGAGAGAAAATTCTCACACACAGAGCCTGCCATTCAGAATCATATAGTTACACTGGTCCACGTCCTAACTGCACTTGCTCTTACTAAAATACCATTACATAGCATCACGAAGCCAAATGACTTAATTTTGAATTATTTAAACCAGTTATTATAAACTAAACATATGACAGTCTGTGAAATTGAGGGAAAAAAATGCAATACAATAGCTTGTGTTCCCGAGGGCTGCTTTGAAGAGCTTTACAGCTGTATATTTTTTATAAACCCTCACTTAACTGATTAGCAGTTAAACTGCAGCTAATGCTTTGTAAAATATCTTGGACTCTTATGTGTATATTCTGGACCACAAACGTAGGGTAAGCAATAACTGCTTTAACAAAATGCTTATATATTAGAAATACATAGGTTGGTTTGAAGTGGGGCTGACCACCTGAATTTTGGAAATTCTTTTACTCCAATAAATTTTCTTTAATGTGGAATTGTAATTTGACACAACTTCAAATATGAACATAGAAAAGCATGTGCGAAGAGGAGGAAGGGTAGACATAGTGAGAAAAAGAAAGTTTATTCTCATGTTTTGGAAAAACAGTGAGTATTCTTAAAAAACTCAAATCCCAGTGTATAATACACAATGCACAATAGTTTGTCCATAAACCCTTGTTTGAGAAACACCACAAAGTCAAGCAAAACCTTATGCCTCTAAAGCAGAATTTTGTCAGACCACAGATTCCTAAATCGAAAATTTATGCAAGGGGAACAAATGCATCACTTCCTGGTGGCCTATATTGATTTTATCCCACACTGTGTGCACATTAATTTGCACAGTCTTACAAAACATCTGCTGTTGAACTGCACGGTACATGGCTGCAGCAGGGGTTTCACTATTTTCCTAAAGTGTATTTTTATTAAGAGCAGTCAGCCACAATGGAAAATGAGATGGAGCTTGATCTCCTCTGGCAGTAGGGATGCTTGATGGACAGTCCCTATGAGGCATGGAAGATACTAAAGAAAGCAGGAGGAGAGAAAGAAGCAGAGAAATTTTTCTAAGTCTGTTCTTCAGCGAGAGTGTTTAGGGGGAATTTTGAAACTGTGGTTCACCTAAAGGCAGAAATTGAACCTGAACTGTAAAATGAAGCCATTTTCCATTTCAGTTCCTGTACACTGAATTCCTCTGTTACCTTTTCTTCTGTTGAAGAGTGTAGTTCCCTTAAATAGTGTTTTCTTCAGACAACTTCTGACAGAAAAGTTAGAGGAAGGTGTGATGATGTCTTGTATCCCTTTCAGTTGCTCTCTGGTCTGGACTGAGCTGACAGCAGATCTGGCTTCTTGTTATTTTGAGTCCATGCATTTTGTACTTCTGGCTAAAGAAATTATTTTCCCTGTTTTGTCCCATATATGTCTCATTGCTCTTTTTCCACCAGCAATGGCCCTCTAGGCTCTGCCATCTCTATTTCTATTTCTATTTCTATTTCTATTTCTATTTCTATTTCTATTTCTATTTCTATTTCTATTTCTATTTCTATTTCTATTTCTATTTTTTTCTATTTTTATTTCTATCTCTATTTCTTTCTTCCATTTTATACATAAAGTTTTGTCCACAGTTCAGAGTACTATCGTTATCTGCAGCTGTAAAGCTACAGAGATATCAGTAGCAGACACCAGCTTTGTCTCTTCAAAGCCAGGAGGGATTGGGATGATGATATTCTATAGAGGATCTATTAAAACATGTGACAGACTGTATACAGGTTAATTCATGTAAGGACCACAGGTTATTTCTCATATCTCCTTGACATACATCTCACATATTCTCTCTAATTGCTGCTGGTTTTTGATCAGGGTGCAATTCTTGGTGAGGATGAGATCTCTAGGTGAATTATCTCTCTCTGTCATTGTGTGGAGTTGTTAAACTGACCTGCGATATATAGTCTGTGGCCAGCAGGATAACAGCTGTGGTATTGAAGGCAGAGATGAACAACACATTTATTTTGAGATTAAGGCTTTTAATGACATCTTCTGCAATTCTTTACTTCTGGAACTGTGTGAAGACCAGATGAATGTGGCTTTTGGACGAATCGTGCCTTAGGGATTGTCCACAGTTAGCAGCTCACAGACTTTCACGTACCTTATTGATGCTATAGTGAGAGCTTATACTGGTCCAGGGATGTTCTTTGCTAGATAGGTATTTAATTTGTTCAGGTTAAAATAAACCAGACAAAAAATACCTGTGCAGATACTGCAAATTACATGGGTTTCTGATACCTCAGGTGTTTTTCTTCTAGCTTATATCTCCATAAAACCAAGAAAGCATATATAGATATGCTTGTTCCTGTTATTCCTGAGCATGCCCATGGATTTAGTTTCTGCCCTAATTACACACTGTGCTGCCATTTAGTCTTTAGTGGGATGATGTATTCATTATTGATGGTAGAAGATGATGGCACATATAATTGTAGAGAGGGCTGTAATACAAAAAAAAATTAGTTTGCGATTCTCTGTGTGGGCTTTGGTCCATGTCCATTCACTTCTCAATTCTGGATCTGAATGGACAGCAAAGAAAACAAAACAAATCATGGCCAAGGGTCTTCATAGAAGTACTTCCCATTCCCATCTCTCTCATTTCAGGAAAGATAAAAAGCTTTGATAAAAACAATACTGTCTTCCTCATAATTTTAATTCACAGCACATTCATACAGCATCTCTGAGGTAAATGACTGTGTTACGAAGTGTTCATTTATGCTAGGATTAAAAAAAAAGTAAGCAAAGCAAAGAATGTGTCTGTGCAGCTTCTGTTGTTACTGAGGTGGGGAGATTGTCACAAGAGGGCTGAATATGGCAGCCCACCAGCTGCAAAATGATGGGGACATCCCATCAGCCAAAGCTCACACTTTGTGGCTTCTCTTGCTCGCTGCTGGAGGTTTCATTACTGCCATTTTGTACATGAATTTTTCATACAAAAATGGCACTTTGTAACATCCAGCTTTCAGCAAAACATTTTCCCTAACTTTTATTGGCTCAGAATATTAGGAAGTTTTGAAATTACTAATAATGCAAAGAAAAAAAAATAAAGGGAAATTTAAAAAAGCCTTTATGTTGTCAAAAGTAGTCCTATAACCTTAACTTTGCATAGAAGGGGAAAATGTTTCTGTCTGGTTTGGCATCACAGAAGATATTTATTTCTCAAGAAACAGATGAATGAATACCTTCTAAAATGCACTGAAATATCTCACTATTTTTAAAAGGCTGCTTTTAAATGGGTTAATTTTGTTCTGTTTATAGCTGCATACAGAGTTAAATTTAAAACTTGGAGGCAGGGTGGATATATATGTGTCTCAAACTCCATGCCTAAAAGATACCAAATACCCTCTACACAAATGAGGCACCTGTAAATGGATTCTCCTGCCTGGCAGGGCAGATGCTGCAGTCCTGAGGGTGCTGCTTGGAAGCTGCTGTGTGACACAGAAGCAATCTTATTTGCGTAGAAAGAAACTTTGATTATTCTCCATTTAATAAACAAAACCTTTTAATTTCCCAATAAAAAACAAGGTCCTTATGCTGAATAGCATTTTAATTTCTCATTAGAGGCAGACTTACACTTTAGGGCTACAGTCAGCAAGGTATTGAGAAGAAGAGTAATTTCAAGTGCTTGAGCACTGCTATTGATTCAGGGGCTCTCTTTTCACTGCACTAAGCAGGCCTCCATGGTCAAGTCTTTTCTGGTCCAGTGATATTGCCATGTTAGGTAATATGATAGCCTCTACAAACTCAGCTCTGAGATGCTGGAGAGAGAATTTGGTGAGAGGGGACAGTTAGTGGAAGGAGCTTACAAGCAGGACTGTGTCAGTCTCTGGGCTTGTCTGAGAGCATTTGGTAGGGGGTCTATATGTGGAACTAGCTGATGTATCATGGGGTTATTGCATTTTTCTATTCCTTTTTTTCTTGTGAGGCGTCTGCTGTGGACCAATGGTCTGGAGCACAGGTCATACAAGGAGTGGCTGAGGGAACTGGGGGTGTTTAGTCTGGAGAAGAGGAGGCTGAGGGGAGACCTCATCGCCCTCTACAGCTACCTGAAAGGAGGGTGCAGAGAGCTGGGGATGAGTCTCTTTAATCAAGTAACAAGTGACAGGACAAGAGGGAATGGCCTCAAATTGTGCCAGGGAAAGTTCAGACTAGATATTAGGAAGCATTTCTTTCCAGAAGGGGTTGTTAGGGGTTGGAATGGGCTGCCCAGGGAAGTGGTGGAGTCCCCATCCCTGGAGGTGTTTGAGAGTTGGGTCGACATAGCGCTGAGGGATATGGTGTGGTTGGGAACTGTCAGTGTTATGTTAAGGGTTGGACTGGATGATCTTCAAGGTCTTTTCCAACCTAGAGAGTTCTGTGATTCTGTCAGAGATCAGAAGCTAGGATAATGGTCTCTGGTAGCAGACCCTCTGACAGGAGCTCAGCACCCCAACCTCTTTGCAGTCTCAGACCCCTCAAAAGATGCTTAGTGGTTTCTGGGGTGGGAGAAGTGGCAGCGGCAGCTCCAGGGCCAGTGGAGGTGCAGATGGCCCTGCCAGAGTATGAGGCACAAGCCACATCTCTCCTTCCCTCTCTCGGCATGGAGACCTGAGTGCAGTTATGTGCAGGACATAGGGCTGTTGCCACTCCACTCTTGCAGGAGGAACCCTCTTTACCCAGGTGTACCATTTCATCTTTGCTGAGCAGCATGATGGGACCTTTTAGGCTTTTAAGTGACAGACATATTCTCGGGCCAGAGGTGTGCGAAGAACCAGCGCATACTCTACCCTAATGTTTTACACCCTGAGGAAGTCTGCATCTAATGGGCTTTTGAAAATCAGGTCCTCTAGGGAAAATCTGCAACTCACTGGCTCTTCTGGAGTGCAAACATTTGCTTTGTGGTGCCTACTTTAGGCACTGTTTAATAAGCTAACTGTGTGTTCAGCAATGCATGTAATCATCCCACTCCACGCATAAGCTATTCCACTTAAAGGTTGAAATATCTTTCTTTTGCCTGGTGAAATCTTAATTTCAGCACAGTCTGGAGACTGAAGAGCTGATATTGGTGATGGCGAGGGGAGATACGAAACTCTGCTTTTACAGGATCCATGGGAGGTTGGCTGGCCAGGCTGGAAAAGTACAGGCATTCATATTTGCAGCAAAAGAGCCAGTCTTAAATTTTTTTTATCATTTACACATCTTCTCTACAGATCTGTTAAGAAGAATCTGGTCTATGTGGTAAAACAGACAGAAGCTGATACAGGGGAGGTAGACATACAGTGTTTGTGAACTTCTCGTGTAGTCATATTCAAAAAACCACTTCTGCTTAAAATGGCAAGCACCGACAATAGCGTTGCACAAAGAGCAGGATAGTCCAAAACCAGTCTGGCTTCTGTTATTCAGAAGTGACTTCAGCAGAAGAAACCTAGCACGTAAAAATCTCAACTTTTCAACTCGGAAAACCATTCTCTGAAAAAAAATACCATTACACAGTTTCTTGTGGGAACAAATGCTTTCTCATTCATCATCTTCAGTCCTCTGATATTTACAATAGACTGCAGTACTTGTTTGTACCATTTCTGTGTATGTGGATGATGTAACTAACATATCAAACCATGGTGCTCACTTAAAGCAGTGATGTGCTGTTGAAAAAAAGTTTCACTTTTAGAAAAGGCAAAAAATTAATCATTTAACCAGTGCAGAAATGGAGAATATATGTTATATTCTCCACCAAAAAAATCATAATTGCACCCACAATGCCTGCTTGTATATGACTGACATGCCATGGGATGCAAAAACTAATAGACTGCTGCTAGTTTATGGAGAGGCAGGCTGCGCTGAAGTTTATGAGAGTGTGATAGCTAGTGGGGAAATAGAGCTGTTACACAAGCCAATAAAATATCCGCTAATTACATAATCAGTCCTAGAAGAAAATGAGCACCAGAGGAGTGATTACATAGCTGGCCATCTTAAATATGCATAAAGAAATGTTTGGGAAAGGATTAAGAAAGTTTATTTTAGAATACAATTAAAAATCTGCTCTAAGTAGAAAAGGGAGCGTCACAGACAGCTGCAACTTACAGGCCAACTGCACAGCTCTCCCAAAAAGACAAATTTTACATGCTGGCAGAAAGCATCCTGAGATTATATTGCAGAGATGTCAAGAGCTCTTCTGTGAGGTCTGCACTGCTGCCTTGGCTTGGGGACAGTCCTGGGTGGGCTGCCACCCCTCAATATGCCTGGTGGCCTCTCTGAGCACAGTGGCAGTGGGGCACCACGGGCAGCCCCCACCGTGTGCCCACACTGGTGTCCCCAGTACCATCCCCACTGCTGAAATGGAAAAAATGTACTGTCAAGGGAGCAACTGGGGTCAATGAGCCATGGAGAGTCATCCATTCCTGATGACTAGGACAAGGGCAGAAAGAACCCATTGAAGATGAAATTTTTTCTCCTTGGATCCCTCCCTCACCTAATCCCATCCATTCATACAACAGTTTCACGATACTTTGGTTTTGTTTCTGGTTCCATTGTAACGCTGATTCAGTGACTATTGCATAATGATCATAATAAGGATTGTTAAGTAAGGTAATTAACATTCTTTTTTTTAATTCTTCAACAACCTCACAAAATTTGAGATATGTTTCAAGAGTAAAATTATTATTGCAACACTATCTTATTCTAACTTACAAAAACTGTAAGCAGCTTGTCACCAGAAAATTTAGTTGGAGATATTCTTTTATAGCCCTTGAAACTGAAGAAGTGACAAAACAGGTAACGATAAAAGAAACACACTTTCATTTCCTTTAAGAATAACTGTAATGTAATATGGCATACACTGCAAAAATAGACCTGTAACTTCAGTTATGGGATAAGGGTGAAAAGCAGAATATACAAACTAAGGTGACATGAAATATGGATTTTGGTAGCCAAAATTATTACTTTAAGGAAAAAGCACCACTGTTTTTGTTTGTTTTGTTGGTTTTTTGTTTTTTTTTTTTAAGCTGCTTTCTTACTACAACATTAAAATAATTTCTACATTTAGCTTCTGTATGAAAGGAAACAAGAAGTGGGTCACCGTACTCACACATTTTGACCACTATTCACAAATGCATTAGAAATCTGCCTTTCCTAGTCAATATATGACTGAATATATTATAGTCAGTAAACCAGAGAGATAACCAAATATTTAAAGTCATTTAGGCTTGTTTTGTTTTATTTTTAAAAGAAAGTAAAGCAGACTTACTGAATGATGCTATATTTTCAAAGCATTTATGAAATCAAAATGTCAGTCTTATAATTTAACTTAAACTCTCTAATAATGCAATTTTAACTCCTAAATGAAGCTTCAGTCTTTTATTCTGTGTGTTAGCATTCCCTCTGTACAACATTTTGTGTACACAGCTAATTTTAACATTAACCTTACAGCACCAGTTTCAGTCAATTTGAGCACTTCAACAGAAATCATGTTGGAATATAAAAGCCCTCTGTGATTTGTTCTCTCTCCCTAGTTTAGAAATATTGCCATCTGATATTTTTTTCTATATTTTTTCATTGTTTCCCCTATCTTGTGGTTATTTTTTTATGCAGTGGTGCTACTCATGCAAAGGCAGATAATCCAGTAATATGAAAGTGGTTGGAAAAGAACTGCAAAACCAGAGTCATGCTCACTTTTGGGGCTGAACAACTGGCAACAGCATCTTTGACTAAATTCACTTAACAACAAGCACCTCACCTAAGATGAAGTTGCTACTATATAACATACCTGGTAATGCATTAATATATGCATGATGTAATCATATATTTCTCCAGCAAGTCGGTTTTCTGGTCTCCAGGGAATAATAACAAACTGAATTCCTAGTAAGGGCACCAGGATTAAAGTGGCTCTGACAGCCTTCATATACATGTTGGACTCAGCACGGTGGGTATCTCTTAGCTTTGTCACCAAAACTCGGACAATGTTAAGCAAAAAGAAAAAATTGACCTGCAAAAGCAAAGCCATTTTAGGTGAAAGCATTCAAATTAAATAGACATTCAAAATAAAAACACAGAACACATAAAGGGCAGTAAAATGTAACTTCCTAGCTTTATTGCAGCTCATAATGGGCAGCTCCTTGGGAATCAGGCATTAGAAAGTACCTTGAATGCCTTCAGAAAAGAGATGTTAAGCTGCTCTACACATTTCCCTTAGGAATCTTGCATGGATGCTTCAGGCAGGCAGGCATCAGTTCTAGGAAGCACTGTCTGTTTTAACACTGATGTGGGCAAATTTAAGATTTCCAGGGAAAAATAAATCTCATTTTTATGTCTAAAGTTTAAATGGAATGGATGAATTGTCCCCTAGGACTCTTTTCTGAGTCTGAAGGTCACCTAGGTATCTTGCTTCGGTCTGCACTGGAGATGTCTGCAGCCAGGTGAGACAAACTCCAGCATGTCCCTGGGCATATATGGGACCTACAAGGGCACACACTTTCTCTGAGGAATGTGCTCAGAGCAGAGGGACAAGGCTGCTGTCAAGAAAAGCCTAGGCTATCCCTTGCAACTACCAGACTGCATGGACCCTGTGGTACACTACCCACAGGTAAAAGTTAACACTTGCTGGCTCAGGGTAGAAACGCCAGACACTTCAGAAAGTTTGGCCCTGACCCTTATGGTCAGCTATGCCAAGTGGCTCAGCATCTCATCTCCTCAGCCATTTCTGGAAATCTGATTGCAGCTGTGGGTGCTCAGCATATGGAAACCTGCTCTTGAATCTGGCTTCACAGAGAGCTCCTTGTGGGATGGACAGAGAGCCTGCAGAGGAACAGGGAAGGCAGACTCAGGCTGATACTGAGCCCAGTGGGTACCCTGTGGACATCCTAGTTATCACAGACCTTCCCTCTCTCCAGTGCAGCCAGACCACTCTTTACTACTCTGTTACAGTAGCATCAGGCACCAATGCTTCAGAACTTCAACAGACTTTTTTTTCAGATTTCTTTTAAAATAAGTTGCATTACTTCCATAGATATTTTAATAGCTCAAATTCCATGGATATATGAGAAATTTCAGTTGAATCTTTCAGAACAATAAAATATGAATCAGTAAGCTTTGGTAAAGCAGCTTGTCAGGCCACACCTGGAATACTCCATTCCAGTTTGGTCCCCACTATAAAAAAAGCTGTGGACAGGCTGGAGAGGGTCCAGAGAAGGAACACAAAGATGATCACAGGACTGGGAAGCCTGCCATGTGAAGAAAGGCTGAGAGAATTACATTTGTTCAACCTTGACAAGAGAAGGTGTAGGGGAGACCTTATCACCATGTTCCAGTATTTAAAGGGATACAAGGAAGATGGAGACTCCTTTTTTACAAGAAGTCACATGGAAAAGACAAAGGGTAATGCATACAAGTTCCTCTTGGGGAGATTCTGACTGGACACAAGAGAAAAATTTTTCACAATGAGAACAATCAGTCACTTCAATGGTCTCCCCAGGGAAGTGATGGATTCCCCAACACCGAACTGTTTTAAGATTTGGCTGGATAGGTTGCTGGGCCATCTTGTCTAGACTGTGCTTTTGCCAAGGAAGGTTGGAGCAGATGATTCTTGAGGTCCCTTCCAACCTGGTATTCTATGATACTATGATTTCATCATTTTTTAACTACTGAGAGACCTTTCAACTGTTTTACATTTGTAGTCTATTGGAAAAAAATGGATAATTACTTCTGAGGTCTCATTCAGCATTAAAAGTAAACCTTATCCTCCATCCTATGCTGACTTTGCTCACTCTGCTTAACCTTCACTTTTAAAATTCCTGGAAGTAACTGTGAAAAGTGGAAAAAAGACTTTACAAAGGTAAAAATTCTCAACTCTTCTGAGTCAGTCTTGTCACTATGGGATTTTTGTAGCAAATCATGCAGGACATTCTGTAGACGTTAACATCTTCACAAGAAAACTAACACTGGAAAAGGCATAAGCACAAGCCAGAAATTATAATGCCTTATTTTAAAAACAGTTCAAGATTGTTCTTTTTCTGTAAGAAACAGTCCTCTCTTTTCTTTGTGGCTGAGATGTTGGAGCACAGTGATAAAAATAAAAGGTTGAATGGCCTCTCCTAGAACAGCAGAAGAAATCAAGATTGAACCAGAAACCTAAACCAGATGTGATTCTATGGGAAAAGCAGACTATCTATATGGCAAGGAGGAATGGGCTTCTTCGGATTGCTGATGTTCAAGACTGCTTCTCAAGGAAGGGTAGAAAGATTTACAGTTTTTTCAGTTATTAGACAGAAAGTTGTTTCTTTATTGAAAGGTGTTCCCAATCTTCACTGCCCTACTGTTTGATCTCTGAGGTAATTACTGCAGGTACACCCATGTACATCTTTACAAACAAGAGACAGCTCAAAAGCCGAAAGTGCATCTTGGGTGACACACTGAGGTGAATTTGGGGCTTGGGCAGAATAAATCCCTTTCTGCACCTTTCAGGAAGGTCAGGGTTACTGTGCCGAACAGCACCACTGGCATATGAGATGCTATATGTTTACACATTGCTGAGCTGCACCTTGAATCTTGCCCTCCTACTCAGACAGCCCAGTTCAGTCCCTTCCCTGGACTAGTTTAGCTCCCTACCTTTGGATCATACCAGTTCAGTGACCAGTAAAACTGGTGCTGAGTGACCACCCTGCATTCAGCTCATCCAGCTAAGACACAGCTGTATGCCTCATTGATGTCAGAGAAATTAAGTACATTTGTCACAAATAAGTTATGCTGGGAGAGAGTGACCACCCTGATTTTCAAAAGCAGTTAGTGATTCCATTTGCCTCAAGATCTGATTATTTACTGGGAGGTCCCTTTACAGGACTTGTTTTTGAAAAGTATTGAGAACCTGTCCTTATAACACTGAGAAAACCTCAAGCTACTTCTGAGTTTTGACCAAAATACTTAAAGTACAGAAAATTCTATTCTGTACAGGTAAGCAGCATTTGTAAAATACTTATTAATCTGATGATAGCATATTCTTACCAGTAAAGCTGCCATTACAGGTCCATGAACAATATATAGCAAGTGTGTGTCAACACTCATCCAGCAACTAGAGGGGAAATACAACATTAAAATTCATTATTAACTCAAATAAAATGTGTAACAGTTAAATAATGCTAAGTTCCTTCAGAAACAGATATGCTACTCACTTGTCATTGAAGTATCTGGCTCTTGCAACAGCATGAATAGATGCTGGCACTAAAGGGAACCCTGAAATGATTGAAGTTATAGATTAGTCCTGGTATTTTTTTTTTAGCTTGAATTTCATGTGTCACAGACACCAGCAAGTATCTTGTTCACAAAACACATGCTTGTGAAATCACAGCTTCCAGGAAAGAACCACAATCCCATTCCACTCAGGATCCTACCATTACCTGGATGGTGAGATGCAAAAGAGAATAACATTCAAGGCAGGCCAAAAGGAGAAGCAAAGTCCACGGGCCATGCTCTCCTGGGGTGTCACAAAGCTGCTGCCAGGGTCCTCTGCACTGCTGTGGCTTGTGCAGGGAAGGGTGTGAGCAGGCAGTGTGGGAGGGAATGCACGGATCATTCGATTCTTAGCAGAGTATTCCCTCAGGAAACCAGGGACACTTGTTAAAACCACTTAAATCACTGTTCAGCAAGATAGGCACATTAACTTGCATGCCAGATTATGGAGCAATAAACAACAGAGCAAGGAGTTGCTCTTTTGGAGCCTACGGCAAAAGAAAATGTTTGGAGCCAGGAGGTTTTTTGGGGGATGGGGATTTGTGATATCTTCTGCAGGTTCCCAGCTTCTGTGCAGCCAAGCCCATCCCATGCAGCTTTATCTCAGCAGGGAGTGGAGCTGTGGATACCATGAATCCGCATCTCCTGACTTCTCCGCGAAGCCTCAGGGGAGGCCACTGCTCTAACAGGTAGCTGACAGAGCAAATTTGCACAGGGCCAAAGGCTTGGGAACTGGAAGCCTCAAATTCCTACTTCTGGCTTGACATTAAGAGTAACAATCTGGTTCACTCCTGTCCATCTTCCTTCAGCTTGCTTGTATGTTGTGTCCTTCTCCAATAGGCTACAAAACCGATAGCGGGGAGTCTGCACTGTGATACTGACTCCAGTTTGTACAACATTGCACATACTGACAGCTGGCCAGTGGGGAGATGATCTACTGCCTTGTTTGTCCTGTGCAAAGAGCTTTGTGAACACCTTTGGTGTTACTGCTGCCTGTTCCCTATAAACAATGGGCATTTATTCTGAGCTTTGGATAGTTTATAATTATAAATAAAAATGTGTGAAGATGTCTTGCTGATACCGTGCTTAGTCACAGAGGGAAGAACATGGCTCCTTGTTTCTTTGGAAGTTAGTGATTTCATAAACACTTTTATAAGAGAAAATCCTGAGCCAAATTCTGGGGAAGACTCACCTCAGAGCACAGACCAGCCAGTGCTGGAGCGAGAATAACATTGAAAAGTTAGGTAAATTGGACACTCTGATGTCTTCAGGTATCTTTATGCAACAGCTACTTACTCTACCCCAAAAAAATTCCGTACTGCAGTTCACCTTGGGAGAACAATGTAGCTGTGGGAGAACAAACTGCATTGCCTTCTCCTTTATACATTGTTAGAAAATGATTGCTTGGCCTCTGGCTGCAGAACACCTGGTTTTGGGTGTTGATGCATGGTACAACAACAAAAAGCTCAGAAAGGAAAGAAAGAAACTTCCAACCTCAGAGTAAGCTTATGGGATTGAGAGTTTGAGAAAATCCTTCTGATCTGGAAATGGAACAAGTCTGGGACAGTTTTGTTGACAGACAGATTGAAGTGCAATTTTTAAGGGGTCTTCCTGTAATAGTAAAAATTCTTCATCTGAAACCTCTGGCCTGGAATACCACAAGTAGAGCGCCCACATGATGTCAAGGGACCTTTTTTCTTCTGCTAAAAGCATCAGCCTAGAATATTTGGCTTAAACTCACAAGCAAATCTTAAGAATGTGACGGAAAGTTTTCATTAGTCAGTTACAGGGTAAGAAGCTCATGACTGTCTACAGCTCAAATTTCCAGTTGCAGGCTGGATGGGCTCTTCCAGATACCGTTCTCTTGTCAAGGGCCAAAAAGCAGTGAGTTAATGAGAAATGAAGCACCAAGGTCTGTTGGGTCTTGGTGGCACAACATGTATCACTCCAAGTGTCTCACTAACACATGGTGAGCAGCAAGTAATGTAGAATAAGTCTTACACCAGCCATCCCAGGAGAAGGTATGACATATCCCTTTAGGTCATGCCAGGTCCTTTATGGCACACAGTGGCACTTATGCTTAATTGTATTTCCAGCTGAATTTGGAAGGCACTCTGTTTCAGCACTGTCCAAATAAATGACTCCATTTTCACTTTTATGTGGATGAAGCTGCCTGAAGCAGCCAGAGCGGACTGAAGCTGGATGCACACGTTTGATACTGTTTTCTTGCCCTGCATAAGGGTGACTTCCTGACCCAGTGAAACAATAACAAATGAGAAATGACACCCCCAAAGACAGTTCCCAGAGAAGTGGTCATCATAAGGCATCAGCCTTGAAATACATGTCAGATTCCATTCAATCATCTCAAACATTTTGTAGAAGTGTTTTCTATTTGCTCAGATTTTTATTTTTATTATAAATCTATTTTACAAATAAAAGAATCTAGACGTTTTTGCGTAGGGATTAGTTATAACAACGAATAATGAGCGACTTCCTCTTTTGTTCTACATTTACCTTGATCTTTTAAATTGTAACTCAGAGCACAGCCTGCTCTGGTTGCTCTGCATTGCCTTTGGAGAAATTTATCTCTCTCCATTGATTAACATATCTAGATGTTTAAAGTTAGACTGTGAGACTACAGCTTCTGGAATCAGTGGAATTACATTGATTTATGGCCAGATAGTCTTAATTAGATCATTTTGCTATTAATGATTTCTACCTTAGTTAGGAGGTGCTAATGATTAATTTTTTTTGTGGAAGTATCCATCTAGTTTGATTAGAAAGGCTGCAGACTTCACAGTCAAGAGTTGTGTCCATTTTTATTAACCTTTTCCTTCTCAAGATATCATCATCCTATTACCACAGCCAACACCCTATTTATTTTTTGGGCAGTGCTGCAAATACTGATGAGTATCTTATCTGATAACTTCACTGAATTACCCACCATGGTGCTAGTGCCAGTCTCAGCAATACTACAGCTAGTTCATAAGCTTTCACTGCAGGCTAGCAGCATTAAATTGCACTGCCTAAACTGAATGTCACCTGAAAAAAAAATGTTTATGACCATTTTCCTCTTGCATAATAGGATATGGAATGACACTATTTTGGGAAGGCTTATGCTGCTTTCCATGAAAGTGGAAAAAGCTTTATCTGGAAGGAAACATTAAATTACTCTTCATATAGGGCTGCCATTTCAAAAGCAGAGCCCTATGAGACTTTGTATATTCAAATATTCTGAACTCTGAACACCTTGTGATAGTACAGTTGCTTGCTCCAAGAGGGCTCAGCTGTTTGGGTTGACAAAGTCCAGAAACATTTACTCAATTTAGTGTTCTTCAGGAAGGTTGTCTTCATTTAAGAGCTGATGATGTTCCACATGCTTTTAATTCCAAAAGCACAAAAGGTCCCTCTCAGAAAAGGTGACATTCTCATAAGAAAAAAAAAAAAAAAAAAAAAAAAAAGGAGTGCATGATGGCATTCGCGTTACAAAAAAAGAAAAAAAGAAAGAAGAGTTCTTCCATGCCCGGAAAATCTTATCTGGCAGTATAATCCATATAAACTAGAAACCCATGCTAATTTTCTAGGTAATTAATGTAGACCTAGTCATGGCTCCTTGGGCGATATGCAAGTGACTACATACAGTTTGCATGCACAGTGTATGGGTCTGTAACCTCTCTCACAGAACATCAAGATTTGCCTATTGACACCTGTATATTTCTCTGAAATGCTTTAGAGATCACTGTTGTTGAACAAAATCAAGCCTGACAGCTGAGCCATTATCTACTCCTGTATAAGTACAACTGAATCTTCTCCTTTAAAAAAACATCTGCCAAAATATATCTGACACTGGATTTACTTCCAGAGAAATTCTAATTCCTCTTTCTGCATGCTGTGTTTTTTCACTTTGGAAGACATAGATACTGATTTTTCTTCCTCTTTATTCCAGAAAAAAATATACTTTTATAGGTACTGTCACAGATTAAAAATTTTGCATGTAAAGTGACAAAAATAGACAATTTTTGTTCACAAAACAGATGTGTTTGGATAGAAATCTATTTCTCTCCCAAAGCTTTGCTTAACAAAATTTAAGCCTTTATTTCAGTAAATCCAAAGACGCAGCAAATAATGGATGCTGACTCCTGCTGATTTTTTTAAGTTTCTAGGCCCATCCAAACTAATGCACTCAAATTTAGGAACCAAGAACTCAATCTTAAACTATGATCTAGTGGTATAAATACAACAATCCAGGTGTGTAAGTGCTAGAAGAATTCAAACATATGAAAGAATTGATCATCTTGCTATAAAAATTACAACATACATACCCCAGCCCAATAGGTAATACCAGTGCAAACGCTGCTCTTCAGCAAACACTGCCACGACAATCAATGTATGAAGATAAATCCCTTCACAGAGCATCCAGAAGTAGTTGCAGCCCAACATGTACTGATGAAAGAATTGCAGCACTTTGCAGCTTACCTGTTAGATAAATAAGATAATGTCACACACCTGACCAGCATTTTGCATTTAAGCAGCCAAAGACAAATGTTACTGTTAGGCTATGAAAGCAAAGTAGAACAAAAATTCCCATCTTTTGCAGTGTTTGTTAAGCACCTATCAGCAAGAGGGATTTTAAACTTTTATAAATTAGGTGAATGGAACAAATAGTCTTCACAAAATATAAAAAATGTACCATGACAGCACTCCAGAAAGTACCACATAACAAAAAAAATCCTCTTCAAAATTTGGTAATCTGATGTTTTTTAGAGCTGAAACAAGCAACTTGTTCTAGATGTACAAGAAAGTCTGTGAAGAGGACAGTAACAGAGTTTGGGTGATTTCTTTTACTTTTGATTAAACTTTACTAAAGTTTGTTCAGCTCTTCCCTCTGAGCCAGAGTTACTCACTCTTTAAATAGCACCCAGCTCTGAACTCCCTTCTTCAGGAAAGGCAAGTGCTTTGCCAGTGGAGATTTTTTTTGGTAGGGTAGCAGGGATACCAGCTTTTGTCTCTTTGTGGGAGACAGCTTTACTTTATTTTGTCCAAATAACAAAGTGACATATGGAGGTAAACAGAGCCAGTGAAGTTAGAAGTGTCTCCGGCCTGCGGTTCAGATGAAGTTGCAGGCACAGACCTTGACAAGAGACTGGCTTCAAGATGCTGGGAAGCAGTGGGCAGATGGTGGAGGGATGTGTGTCATGTCCTCTATCAGAGAGCCAGCTTCTGAGAGGATCTCATGTCCATCTACCTCCTCAGAGGGGGCAATGAGTTCCTCCACATGGGCTTCTATGCCACCAGCACCCAGGAGGGCCAGGAGGAGTGGGAGGGTGTTGCTGTGCTGGCAGAGAACCACTGCTCCTGGGGGAACACCACAGGCTACTCAGAAATATGAGGTCACAGCAGTGATGGCAAAGTGACAGTTGTCATCTGTGCCCACAGGAAAATACTCCTTCCCTTTAACTTCTGCAGATGTTTTCCAAGCTGACTACTTGGTCTGAGAGAGATGTCTTTAGGATTTACTTGTCTCTTTAAAGAGACATTTTGGCAGTTCAGCAGGTGGAGGACTGCATGTTTTTGCGTCCCATCTGGACTGCCCCTCTGGACCAGAAAAGCTTGTTAGACACCCAGTGCACCACTTTCTGTTGCTGAAAAATGTTCCCAAAGCAATTGCCCAAACATGTGCATTTAGTTCTGTTTCAATATTTGCAGTGCAGCTTGGTGCTTATGAAAATACAGGATGACTGATAGGTTAGGATATAAGATTCTGATAGGATTAACTTGAAGGACTAATTTTTATTTTTGATGATTCATTTTTCCTGCTAGCTGCACAAGGTAGAGCAGACAGTCACATCTTTTTTCCACACCACGTCTGAACAGTTCTTACAAGATAGGGCCGAAAAGGATTGTATAGTGGTTTGAAAAGGTTAAAAAAGAAAAAAAGACATAGTATTTGCTCATTTTTCTGTTGGCAAATGTGTTCCTTAAGGTTCTTAAATCATCCCTGGACTGTTTTTCACAGGTCTGGGTCAATATGTTTCTTGCCATGTTCCCTCATGCATGCTCAACACAGCCTCCCAGCTGGTGGCTGGCCTTTCTCCCCTCTCCCCTTATCGATTATCTGTCCCCACAAGGGCTGCCTTGACTGACAGGTGCTTCCCAAAGTCTGCACAGACATTCAGGTGGCACTCTCCTTGACATCAGCCGGCTATTCTGCCTCTGCAAAGCCAACAAACTTTCTGAGCCATCACAGAAGTTTTCCAGACAAGTTTGATCAAGTCCTCTGCACCCCAGATTTAAGCTGAGTCAGCTCCACGCTCCCCTGTGAGAATCTACTCGGAAGAGCTGCTGGTCAGGGGACTGACCCAAGAGCTCGAGGCTTCGTTTCCCTGATGTTGTGGTGGGAGTGACTCGGGGTGTCAGCACATTGCTCACAGGCTGGTCCAGCTTCCATCAGTGCCAAAGTCACCCCAGCTTTCCATCCAGCCACTGGGCTCTAGGACCAGTCTTGAACAGCAGTCCAGCAGCTGGAAGGGACCAGAGCATGGCTGGTGAGTTCTGCAACAAAATCCACGGTACATTCTCAAACCTGTCATTTTAACTTAATGCTTTCACCATTTTATGTTGCTGAACTGAAAGGGAGACGACTATCCAGTAACCTTGCTTCTCTTTGCCAGCTGTTTGCACTGTTCACCAACCCTCTCAGTAGAGAACAACTGAACATACTTTCCATCTGAGCTAAGTCAGTCTTTGCTGAACTTTTATCTGTAGCTCAAACAAATACACACACAGAAACCACACTGCCTGCTGAAATTTCCTTAACAATTCATTCTTTCTTTCTTTCTTTCTTTCTTTCTTTCTTTCTTTCTTTCTTTCTTTCTTTCTTTCTTTCTTTCTTTCTTTCTTTTTCTTTCTTTCTTTCTTTCCTTCTTTCCTTCTTTCCTTCTTTCCTTCTTTCTTTCTTTCAATATACCTATCTTTTAGAGTAATGACCATGCAGACAGATCACATTTCTTTTGAGAAATACAATCACTTCCTATGAAGCAAGTTAAAGAAGTAATGCCATTGATAAAGCATGAAGGATGGGTGTGATTAGTACTTAGATTCCCATCAGACTGATTTGAGAACAAATCTGAAAAAGAATAAAGAGTTCAAGCACAAGAATGCATTGATATGAATTATGTTAAATTCATATTAATCAAACTACAGAAAAAAATCAGTCTTTGTTTTGGATGAGCTAACAAATGCAGCACATTTCATCTGTGGCTAAGTGATGCCAATATATGCAATAAAGAGTGGGGTTTTTAGGTCAGAGCAGGTAAAAGAGAACTGTTACCAATGAGAACTGGATTCATCCACGATACAAATAAAACAACAAATGTAACTAACATCTCAGTTACATTAATCTTAGCTGGGAAAATTGCAGAACTAGTAAGTTTTAAGAAGTTTTATTCTTACAGAAACAACTAAAATGAAACTGCAAGATGATACAGAAGTAAATCTTCCACTACTTCCATGCTTGATAACTGACTGATTGTTAATTTTGAGATAAAAAACTTGTTTAAGGGTTTTGTCTACTGCTAGGTCAAATATGTTTTGTTGCAAGTTCTCTGAGGCAGAGGCTTTGTTGTGCTTTGTACAATATGAAGCACAGTCAAATCCCGGACTCAAAGGATTATGACAGCACCTTCACAGTATGAAGGAGAGTAAAATGTCATGAGCTGTCAGTCTATGGGTGTGCAGGTGACTGGAGCTAGTGGATTTTAATTCATTAGCAGGGCAAGCTGAGAGGAAATAGCTGGGCCTTTCTAGTGGAGCCCAGTAACTGTTGATCAGGTTGGTGTGCCTGTCTCCTAAACAAAAGAATAAACAAACACTTCTCTTTTCAAGAGCCTGGACACAGCACTGCACTACATGGGTTGGTGGCTACATAGCAAGGGAAAGAGTCATATAGTTACCAGGAAAGTCCCCAAAGCCAGGTAACCACCTAAGAAAGCAGTTCCTTTGCGGCTCTGGGAGGATGGCCAAGAATGAAATCTATTTTGGCAGAATGCAGCCTGGCAAGAAACTTGATTTGCAAGCAAGGAGACTGCCTCCTGCTACTTGTTCTCACTGCACTGATAAACACAGAAACTGAGGAAAGTTCCTTACAGGTCTGCAGGAGAGCAGCTGAGAAAAAGATCTTTATTGTTAATTTTCCTTTCTCATGGAAGCAACCTGCAATAGCCTTAAATCCTGGCTAACTGCTCAGGGGCAAAAAGGGTCAATAGGAATCCAGTCAGTCACATTCTCCTTTCTCATAAATCTTGCTAAGAGTCATGTAATTCCCGTGAAGACCTCAGGTGCAATGTGTAACAAAAGCACTTCAAAAGGATGCTGGAATCATTTCACAGAGAATAAATAAAATAATTTGTTGTTCTTTTACAAGAAGGAGCTAGCACTGGTGTTCATGATGTTTTGCAGGATATATTGGCATATTTTAAATACTGTTAATGTTCTGATCCTATCAAAGGAGTTCCAAAGGTCCATCTGCCCACACAGGACCCTGCAATTGCGTGGTGCTGTAGTCAGCATGCCACTCTCCTCAGCTAATCCAGCAGCCTCTCATCACATGTACTTGTCATTTCCCTGTTAAGGCTCTCCTTGGTTATCAGTTAATACCTTATGACAGAAAGCTGCAGTATTAATTACTATCACTACTCATTAGGGCAAATCAAACCTAAACATTCAGCCTATATAAGCCCCAGAATACTATCTTCAACAACATTAACAAAATGTCATGTGAAAAAAGTTGCTAACTGTTTTTGATCAGGTTTTCCTAGTATTTAAATCAGAGTAAAAGGACTGACTCAGTTTTGGTGTATAAAAGTTGTTCAGATTCCTGTGTGTCCTCATTCTTGTGATGCTTTCCTGGGTGAAGGGACTCAGGTTGGCAAGTTAGGAGATGTGTTTTACACCAGTCTTTGCCAACTCTGGATAGCCTGCCCCGTGGAAAGCAAGGGTGGGATAGTTTCTTGGTGTGCATTATGAAACTTCTCTTTTTCAAATTCTCGGCATCCATTGAAATGCCCCCACCTGACATTTCAAACAAATTGTTAAAAGGCCAACCAAGCTTACTGCTTTTAAACCAAGGCAGTTGTATGGGCCATCATTACAGCTGTGCACTTCTTTTGTTTAAAGGGGAATAAACATATTTGGCCTTATTAGTCTGATTCCTCTTCACCTCTGTGAACCTCCCCAGTGCACTGCAGTGAAGGGCCCTTCTTGGGAAGAGCTTGTATTGCTTGCTATGGAGGCCAGACATGATTTATTCAAATTCAGTTTGAAAGCAATACAATATATTCTTGGTCATTCTTAACTTAGCATTTTAAATGAGTGGCTTGAAGCTTGATTACTGATCTGCCTTACATATTTGTTTGGGGTTTTTTTTATGGCTATTAGAACACTATTCTATGAAAAAATTCTTAAATTCCAAGTTTCTA